AGACCACAAGAGACACATATTGGGAGAGGACAACCACTGTGGGAGAATCTTCAACAAGCCCACTGATGCCAAGGACTCTAGGACCACCCAGAATTACCAAGACTGCTGGCAGCTATCAAAGGATGAGAAAGTCAGTATGTTGTCTTTCAAACTGGTCATTTGTATATTTATATTTGGAAGCATTTGATAGTGAAGACAGTAGGGAAAACAAAGCAAAAATGATCCTGGCATTCTTCCTGACTCATCTCCTCCAGTGGAGATGGCTTCTTTCCCCCTCCCTCACATGAAGAAATTGCAGACTTACTGTGCATCTTTGAGCACTCTTACTTCAACAGACACTTTCCTCTTCTTCTAACAGGTACACTCAATATCACTGCCTGTGAGAAGAACAGTAACTCACTCCTGTTTAGGGAAGTAATAAACATAGATGCTATCCCGGGCATTACAGGAAAATCATTGCATCATTAGTGTGGGTGGGACACTTCTGGTTCATGACTATCTATTCTGAGAAAGATTGTCCCAGGATGTGCACTGTTGTTACTGCTGTGGAAAACAAATGGGAAGAAATCTCTTCCACCCTTCCTTCCACCCCCGTATCTCTCTTTTACTCCCCTTTTTAGGACATATTGTTATTCACTCACTAATTTCTATCAACTGATTTAGATGAAAAAGATCTGCATGTGAGAGTAGAAGATGGACTTCAATTTGGGCTACTTTGACACTCATTTTTCATTTACCAGATAAAAAGTCAGTCTTGACTTCAAGCATCATTTTTGAGGCAACAAAAAGTCAATGACTCTGGGGCCATTTTCTGAATCATAGAAAATATAAGCATTATTTGATTCAGGGACACACATGTTCAATAAAGACTATCACTCTGTAGGCCTCCTAGACTAAAAGTTCTCTATAAAACTCATTTCTGAAGCCCCACCTCCCCACATATCACACAAGCACACACACACACACACACACACACCGCACGCTAGATTCTACTCAACTTTAGGGGGAAAAGAAAAGAAGGAACTAAATTAATGGAAAAGAAACTAGTGTGGTAACAATTCTCTGAATGATCTTTTTTTCTCTATTGTTCATATCTATTTTCTTTCCATAATTTTCTTCTCTATTTCACTTTTTCTTCATCTTCCTCTTATTTCTTCTGCCACATCTTCACTGTTTCCACTTTCATTCTATCTTTAATGTTCCTTTTTTATCTTGCTACCTCCTCTCAGCATTTTGTTCCTTCATTCATTTGCTGTGTATTTGGTGACAGCCTTTGACGTACCAAGCCCAGTATAGTTGTTGATGTTATTGTTAGGTGCCATCGAATTGACTATAACTCACAGATACGTGATGAACAATGGATGTGAACCTTGCTCAATCCTGTGCCATTCTGTCAGCATCAGGAAACACAAGACAGACGTGGGCACTGCCCTTTTGAAATGTATGAGAAGAAAATCACATATGCATATGAGGGGGAGGTAAGGCAAAGAAATAAATGAGCAAGATAATTTCAAAATGTGGTCATTTTAATAATAGAAACAGAAAGAGTCCTGGATAAACATGAGAGTGAGCAGAAGAGGAAAATTAAAGTAAGGTTGTGGGGGAAGATTTCTCTATCTCAAGTTGAGACTTGAGGAATGACAGATGAAATTAGCTGTTAACGATTGTGGCAGGAAGAGCATTATAAGCAGAGGAAACAGCATCCTGTGGTTAGAAGGAATTATGGCTATTCAGGGACTGTAAACAATTTCTTTTTCAAATATGGCTTTTTTTCTAAGATGAGAGGGAAATACTTCTTTGAGACAAGGTTAGCAAATTGTATAGAAACTAGAAGGCAAAGCATTGGTGTCTGTGATCAGAAAATAGATTTTAATTCTAAGTAAAATGAGGGGAAAGTGAAGGTGTTTAAGCAAGGAAAAGAATAGGATTTCCCTTCGGCTTGCATTCTCATCACAAAATGGATTGGACAGCGCTGGATGAGCGGAGGCCACTTAGGAACCTATTGCAGCTCTTTCAGAAGAAGGTGTCTGGGGCTCTTGTTTCAGCACTGGGAAATAGAGTGATAGGCAGATTCAAGACAAGACAGAGTTTAAAGGCTGAACTGACATGTTGAAAGACATGAATAGGATAAGTGAGTGAGTGAATAGTGGTTTGTTTTGTACTGGGTTTGGTTTCTTTCTGCAATAGGAAAGATAAGTTTCAGAAAAACAAACTGAGACTCAGTTTGTTTGTTTGTTTGCTTGCTTGTTTGTTTCACAAGCCTCAAATACCAGTATATAGCTCCTGGCTCTACCTTTACTGTTTGTGTATTCATTTATCTTTTAAATATTTATTGAGTGTGCTATTCTAGCAATGATGAATAAGACAAATATTATTCCCACTCTAATAGAACTCACCATCTATCTTTACAGTGAAGTGCTATAATGGAGGTATGTCAGATAAACAAGATAGGTATTAGAATGCATTTCTAATATTAATAAATGATGAGAGTAAGATCTATTGAAGTAACACTAGACAATGTTTGGGGATTAGTAAGCAACTTTAGAGAGGTTGGGGAAGCTTCTCTCTTAGGTGTGACATGTTCAGTGAGACCAGAAGGATGAGAAGAATACAGAAGTTGAGATCTCTGGATAAAAGGTCATTTCAGACAAAAGAGATCACAAGTGTAAAGGGCTTAGGCTGGTAATGAACGTGACTGGTAATGAAATAAACCTAGTGCCACTGTAACCAAGAAAAGAAAGTAGTACTTGGAAGAACTTCAGAGGTAAGAAGGGCCATGTCGTCATCTAGATCAAAGTTCAGAGTCTCTTTATATACATTCATTTGGGTTCAGATCCTACGGCTGTCTTCTCAGAATGTTTTATAAACACATGTTGTTGTTGTTGTTGTTGTTGTTGTTAAGTGCCATCGAGTCACAGGCGACTCATAGTGACCCTATGAAGGAGAGTCCTTGACACTTGGGTTCCTTTCATCCTTTCTCCAGGTTCATAGGGTTTCCGGAGGCAAGCTATTATGGAAGTGGATGCCATTCCTCCTTCCAAGCTTCTTTTAATTGGGGAGCTCCACCCCGCTCTCTGTCCACATTGAGTAGCCAACCATTAACACATTTGACACATCAGTGTCACAGTTCAGCCTCACAGCAACCACAAGTGACCAAGTGCAGCAACTTGTACACCAGGGCTATACGACCTAGAGAAATGTCTGAACAAAAACAATGAAAGAAGGCCAGAGGGCCTCAGATTAAAAGTCACCAACCTTTGGCTTGGTAGCATCGCTTTCTGTCCACTGGGCCAGCTGATCTTTCTCTCTGTGTTGATATTATTGTTAAGTGCTGTCGAGTCACAGGCGACTCATAGCGACCCTATGAAGTAGAGTCCTAAACGCTTAGGTTCCTTTCATCCTCTCTCCAGGTTCATAGGGTTTCTGGAGGCAAGCTATTATGGAAGTGGATGCCACTCCTCCTTCCAAGCTTGTTTATAAATGCATATAATATAAAATATAATCAATTGAATTAAAAAGAAGATAATTAAATTGAAATGTAGCTCTATGCATTTATCTCACAGGGTTCACTGAACCTAGGTTAGATTTTGAAGGAGGGGAGCCATGATGAAGGATTTGGATATTGTTTGAAGTAGATTTGGAAGTAATTATAATAAAATTTTAACCAAACTACTAATGTTGCTGTTGTTATGTGCCATCAAGTAATCTACAACTCATCATGACCCTATGCACAACAGGTATGAAGCCTGCTCTGTCCTGAGCCAGTCTCACTGACTCTGACACAGCTACCCCCATTGCCCTAGTTACTGTATCAATCCATCTCATCTGGAGTCTTCCTCTTCTGTGCTGTCCCCCCTCCTTCCAAGTCTCCAAGGGTTGGTCCCTCTTGGTCAAATGCCCAAAATATGTGAGATGGAGCTTCAACATTTTAGCCTCTAAGGAGAAACTTGATTTCACCCTCTCTAAGACAAACCTATTTGTTCCCTTGGCAATCTATGGAATGTTCAAGACTTTTCCCCAGCACCACAATTCAAAGGCATCGATTTTTCTTCTGTCATCTTTAGTTATTGTCCAGCTCTCTGATGCCTAGCAAGTAATTGCAAAGACTATAGACAGGTTCAGGTGCACCTTAATCTCTAGACTGATATCGTGGAAAGGTCCTTGACAGCAGATTTACCTAATGCAATTTGTCTTTTGATTTCCTGACTGCTGGTGCTAATATAATACAATTTTTATTTTAAAGAACTCACTTCTTGTCATGTTATGGAAATAGATTCCCTGTGGGCAAAAGGAGAGAACTTAAGAGGTGACTTAATTGGTGTAGGAAAAAGATGTTACCATGAACGTGGTGATCATGGAGAAGGTTGTTGCTTTTAGGTGTAGTTGAATCAAGTATGACTCATAATGACACTATCAACAACAGTTCTGAACCCTGTCCTGCTCTGTGCCATTCTTATCATCCCAAACACACTTGAGCCCATTGCTGTAGAGATTATATCAATCTATCTGGTTGAAGGTCTTCCTCTCTTTCATTGACCCTCCATTTTTCCAAGACTGATGGCCTTTTCCAAGGAATAGCCTAACCTAAAAATATGCCCCCACTGGGTGAGATGAAGCTTCATCCCTGGCCTCCATGGAGTACCTTTGGTTGCAATTTCTCAAAGACATTTCTGTTCATTCTTCTTACAAACCAAGGAATATTAAGAATATTCTTCTCCCATACTATAACTCAAAGGCATGGAGAAAGTTAGAATTGGCTATGTGTAAAATAATGTCTCATATAACTTGTCTATAAAGAAAGAAACATACCCTATGAAAGAAGAAATCATGGCAGCCTGTCCTCAGTCATCCAAGATTGTAAATCTTTATGTAAGGAGACTGCCTCATCTGCCTGCCTGGTACATTCAAACCAATCTTTCAGTTAGTAGCCCAACACATAACACACTATAGAATAGTCAGGGCTCCCTATAGAATAGTCAAGGAGGCTTTTTTACACTTACTTGAAGCAAATATGTTCCCAGTAAACCTTAAAAGAAGTTGTTCTCCTTCTCTCAATTGGAAATGGCGAGATGGCTCTGGGGGACCATGGAATCCACCTAAGCGCAAGTTCTTAAGTTCCTGGTTTAAATCTTTATAAGGCACCACTAAAATCACCACTCGATGAGGATGATCTTTCTGATGATGGGCTATTACAGAGGCAGTGGTGCTGCATGTGGCTTCCTCTAAAGATTTCACAAAAGAAACCAAGTGGCTATTGTCCACAGTGGAAGAGAGGTGAAGCACAATAAACCTGTACAAGAAAAATATACAGACTAAACAACATACACTACTATCTTAAAAAACCTCATTCATTTACATCAAATCAGAACCAACACATAGCTGTCCCTCCATTGGGTTTCTGAGGCTATAAATTACATGTGAGGAGTTTGCTTATCTTTCTCCACTGAAGATCAAGTTGAACCACCAGAGAGAGAAAGAGTACCGTTGGGTTAGCAATACAGTTCCCTCTGGACTACTCTATCAGAGCTCCTTTATACTATCTAATAATACCCCCCCCAAAACAAACAAACAAAAAAACCTGAAACCAAAAACCAACCATTAGTATCTCAACGTCCTTCCAAGTCAAGCGTATTGTCCAAGTGGTAACATTTGTTAACAAATTCAGGGAAATTCTGAGTAGTTTCAAAGCTACCTCAAACTAAATTATATTGTAAAAATAGATGTTCTTAAACATAGAAATCATCTAATTTTTGGAACATTCTCAAATAGGGCCCTATATTTTTAATTAGCATTTTATTTGTCCTTTTTGTTTTGTGTGGTCATCTGCAACTCATAACAACACTATGCTCTATTGCTCTGATCCCTGCCCTATCCTGAGCCAATCTCTCCATCTCTGACACATCTACCCACATAATCCCAGTTGTTGTGTCAATATATCTCATCCAGGGTATCCCTCTCTTGCGTTATCCCTCCACCCTTCCAAGCTTGACGTCCTTTTCCAAAGACAGACCTCTCCTGACAAAGTGCCCAAAGTATATGAGATGAAACTTCAAAATCCTTGCCTCTAAGGATCAATTTGGTTTCACTTATCCAGAACAGACTTGTTTGTTCTCTTTGCAGGTCATGCTGTATTCAATATTCTTCTCTAGCACTACAACTCAAAGGCAACTATTCTTCTTCTATCATCCCTAGTCATTGTCCAGCTCTCTGATGTATAGCAAGTAATTGTGAAGACCATGGCCTGGATCAGGAGCGACTTAGTCTCTAGATAGATATTGTTGCTCTTCAGCACTCTGGAAAGGTCCCTGGTAGCAGATTTATCCAATGAAGTATGTCTTCTGATTTCCTTACTGCTGGCAAAGAGTGTTGATTGTAAAACCAAGCAAGCTGAAATTGCTAACAATTTCAATCTCTTCTCCATCTATCATGTTGCTGCCAATTGGCCTAATAGTGAAAAATCTCTGTTTTATTGATGTTGAGCTTCAGCCCATATTGGAGATTGCAGTCTTTGGCCTTCTGCAGCACATGGTTCAGGTCTTCCTCACTTTATGCAAGCAATGTTGTGTCATCTTCATAACCCAGGTTGTTGAAGAGCCTTCCTCCAATTCTGATGCCACATTCCTCCTCATAAAATCCAGCCTCCTTAAAGATCTGTTCTTCACAGAGATTGAAAAGGTATGGAGGCACAATGCATCCCTGATGTACTGCTTTCCTGATTTTGAACAATGTAGTATTTCCCTGCTCTATTCTGACCACTGCGTCCTGATTCAAGTGTAGGTTTTGCCTGAGCACAATCAAGTGTCTGGGATCCCCATTCCTCTCAGGGTTAGCCAGTTTGTTATAATCCACACAGCCAAATTCCTTTGTATAATCAATTAAACAAAGATAGACATTTCTCTGGTACTGTCTGCTTTCAGCCAAGATCCATCTGATAGCCCTAGTATAAACTCAGTTTATGCTTTTTCAATGTACTGTTCCAAGTCAATTTTTTTTTTGGATAATCTTCAGCAGGATTTTGCTTGTGTGTGATATTAGTTGTTATTCTTAGTTACCATATAACTGATTTTGACTTGTGCTGACTCCATGTGTGCTAAATACAGTTCTCCATAGGGTTTCAAAACCTTTCAAAAGCAGGTTGCAAGATCTGTGTTCTAAGCACTTGAAGTGGACTCAAAGGGTCAACCATTACACTAGTAATAAAGAGACTAATCATTTGCACCAGCTAGGAACTCCTAATTAGCATTATAAAAAAATTACTTCAAAAAATAAGAAGAGAAAAAAAAATAGTCCAAGTCTTTCATGGTCTAGTAGGTAATGAGTCGTGCTGCCAACACAAAAGCATGCAGTTCAAATTTTCCAACTGCTCCCCAACAGAAAGATGGACAATCTCCTTTTGTGCTACCTAGAGCCTCTGAATACCCACTGGAGCATCAGTTCTTCACTGATTCCAACTTGGTAGCATGTAACAACAACAATCCATTTTGTTTCAATAAGATGCAGAATATATGCCATCATTGTCATAAGACTAGAATGATGTACTTTTTTGACTGGAATGAACCACTCATCCCCAATTCTTCTCCACAGAATTTCTCTGGGCCCATGGGAGTCCCCTTAGTCAAGGTAGCTATGTATTCACAGGCAACCACTGAAGAATGAGGCCAAATATACCCAGCTTATTGAGTAGTGATATATAAACTCCAGAGTTTCTGTAATATATCAGAATGAAGGTAGATTTCAAGTGAAACCAAACTGTTTCTTTCTTTCTTCTCTTGCCCTATTTACTTCCTTTAGTACATTAGAAGATTCATCTGAAGCACCTTTCACTTACACAAATATTCTCATCTCAAATTCTGTTTCTGGAGAATGTGAGGCTGAAAACTATTTCCAATGTAAATCTTCTATCATGAAACGAAAGCACTATCTTTAGTCAAATTTCTTTATGAGTTGTCATTTATTTTTGAGTGCTCATTCCTCACAAAAGATGGGATTTGAGATTCCTCACGAACCATAAAACTGTTCTCAAGACAGACTGTCTAGAAAACATGGAAATGAGGAGGGAAAATGAGGGTGCTGAAATAACAAATTGAGTTTTACATACATAGTTATGACATTACCATAATATGAACAGTTAATTACTATCTCCATGGAACTCCAGAAATGAAGGTGCTGTTTTAAAATTATTTTGGAGTTGAAGAAAGTCTATAAAAATAAATCTAAGTTATGAGCGGTTTCCAAAAGCTCTTGTTGAAAAAAACTACCATGAATGAAATCATAGTGAGCATATTTATTTCCTTTCTGGTTTACATATTAAAGACATTCTAAAAGACTCTTCATATCCTTACTTGAGAGCTATGAATCTCATGATTCCAATACTGTAACATAAATTATGATCTATCAAGATATAATATTAACAACTTACATCCACTATTATATTACCTCTCTAGATGTTCAAACAACTCAAATGATACCAAGCCAGTTTGCATGGTTCTCACTACAGTATCATCAAGGTCAAACCAACCACCAGTTTGGCTTCTGAATCCTAGTAATTTGAAAGTCTCACAGGCATTGCTCCCAGATTTTCTTATGGAAATATTTTTCGTCCTATATAATGGCAGTAGGAGAAGAAAAAAAAAGGTGAACTTTATGTAGCATGACTCACAAGTAATACAGTCTTTCAAAAAATGAATAATCTAGAAATAACCCATTAAACAAATATTACATGATAGTCATTACACTATGTTCCAGACATCCAAAAATGAGAAACCCATCATTTTGCCTCTACAGAAGCTCTGAGTATTACAGCATTTATTCAACAACCAGCCAAAAAGTAGGTGGTTGGAACTCATCCCAAGTTACCTGGAAAAGCAGGTTTAGAAATCTGCTTCTTGAGGTCATAGCCTTAACAACTCTATTTTGTTTGTTCGTAGGTCCTGTCAAGTTGACTATGAATAATAGCGACCCCATGAAAAACAGATCTCTGTGATCTTCAAAGCCCATTGTGATGGTCATTGTGCCAATCCATCTCACTGCAGGTCTTCCTCACTTTTGTTGGCCTTCAACCTTTCCCAGCATAATATCTCCTCTAAAAACTTGTTCCTTCTGAAAATACTCCCAAAATAAGTGAGACAAAGTTTCATCATCATTGCCTTTCAGGAGAACTCTGGTTGCACTTCCTTGAAGACAGATTTGTTTGATCTTGGGATATTCAGTACTCTTCACCAGCACCAGAATTCAAAGGCATCAGTTTTTCTTCAGTCTTCCTTATTCATGGTCCAACTTCCAAATGCTTAGATAGCAATTGAAAATGCAAAGGCTTGGATCAAGTACACATTAGCCCTCTGGAACAATCCTACTCTGCAAACATGGAATCACTATTAGTCAGAAATGAAAAATGGCAACTAACAACAATATTTCATTATAGCACGCAGTGGTCCATATGGTAACTGGGAAAAGAAATGCATGGTGCTTTTGGAATAGAAGTGAGAAGTTCAAGGAACCTTGCAAAGTACAAGATGGGCTTTGAAGAATGAGGATTATTCTACTGGTGGCACGAGAGGAAGAGCACTACTCCTCAAAAGTAATATAAGAAAACAGTAACAAACTCACCCATGTAAACCAGAAAAGTCAAGAATTGTGTTAATGCATAATAGTTAAAACTAAATTATATGAAACAAGACTACATCTATTCATTCAGATCTTGGGTGGTTCTAAACTGTGAGATAAATGATAGTGTGTACATCACAGAAATTAATGAGTTAAATATTTGTACCCAATTCAAATCACAATCTTCCTAATCACCTATTATGCATCTGAGGACTTGACAATAACTATGGATAACAAGAGAGAAATCTATACTTTTGAGTTGTGGTGTTGGAGAAGAGTAGCGAACATTCCATGGACTGTCAAATGAACAGATATTAGCAACAAACAGTCTTGGAGGAAGTGCAACTAGAGTGCAAGGATGGTGAGGCTTCATCTTACAAAATTTGCACACGTTGTTGGGAGAGACTATTTCTTGGAGAGAAACATCATCATTAGAAAGTTAGAGGGTCAATGAACAAAAAGACCTTTATTGAGATGAATTGATACAATATCAGTATTCACAGCAAATGGCTCAAATGTAGGGATGATAAAGATGGCACAATAGAGGGTTCAAATCTGTTATAGGTTCTCAATGAGCTCTCTACGGTGATAGTAAATTTAATAATCAATGATAATAAATATAGTTTCACAAGATTAATATAAGTGATGTCATTGAGTTTTATAATTGAAAAAGGTTTTTAACTGTTGTGTTACGTATATTTTTACCAAAAACAAACAAGTAAAAAGAGTTACTAATGATGCTTGTATACAACAAAACACCTCCTGGAATTTATTCACTTTGATAAGAGGTTTGTTGTTGCTGTTACTTGATGTTGTTGCTGGCCCTGTGCACAATGAATGTGAACTCTGCCTTGTTTCACGTCATCCTGATCATCCCCAACTTACTCAAACCCAACATTAGAGCCACTGTGTCACTCTATCTCATTGAGAATCTTTCACTCCTTCACTGACCCTCCACATTACAAGCATGATCTCCTTTTCCAAAGACTGGTCCTTCCTAACAACATGTCCAAAATATGTGAGAAGTCCTTTATGACTCCATGTGTGCAGAGTAGAAATATTTCTTAAGATTTTAGGCTGTGACTTTTCTCAAATAAATAGCAGGTCCATCTTCCTTAGTTCCTTCAATTGTGTTTTGGCTAGTAGTCAGCTCTTAAATATTTCCACTACCCAGGAACTCCCTAGGGTCATTGTTTTATGAATACATTAGAGTTAATTGGTCTAATATTGTTTGTAGTGTTCCTGAATTACATTCTAGCTCTTTGTGTAGTATTTAGGTTGCTAAAACCTTGCAAGTAGCCATTTATGATACAAGAATCAGTCTCTATTCTCCTGCGGTAATAGAATAAGAAGGAGAGTCCAGAATCACAAAAGTAATGACTCATTATCACATAAATATGAACCCAGAACAGCTGTATGATGCCTGCTTACCATAAATTATTGTGGTTAAAGATTATTTTCAGAAGAATTCTGGTATAAAGGGAATAAGTTTGAATAAAATTTCAAATTTTTATGGAATCTAGACTTTCTGGACAGATAGAGTTGGATGATCTTCTAGATGATAGCCCATAAAGAATAAATATCCCCTGAAGCCATCTTTAAACTGAACAATTCTTTAGCTTATTTAAGAAAAAGTGTTACCCTTGAGCATTTTGCATAACACGTTTCTATATGGGAAATAAATGACATAAGATCTTTGAATTATTAGATAGGAAGCTTGCTGGTTTTGTGAACCTTAAATCAGAACCAATTCATAGCTAACTGTCCAGCAGGTTTTAAGAGGCAGTTTAATTGCACAGAAGGAGTTTGTCCATCTTTCTCCTGCAGAACAGCTGATGGATTATAAGATTTGGGATGGTACGAACTGGGGATGAGGGTGGAGAAAACAGTGCAACAATGAATGAATAAAAACCCAAAATCTCTGTAAATGTTGAACATTAAAACTAATAAAATTTAATTAAAAAAACAACAACAAAACAAAACAAGATTTGGGATGGCAGCACAGCTCCTTACCATTAGGTCACCAGACCTCCCTAGATAAAAAACTCAGATGGCAATAATTGTGTTAATGGTGAGAAAATAAAAGAAAGAAAACAAATCCAATATTACCCAGGTAGTCTCCTGCCAGGATTATGTCTCAAGTAAACTAGAACTGACTTGTACAACTATGTTCATAACAGAATTATTCACAAGAGCAAGAAAATAGAAATAGCCCAAATGTACATTAAAAATGAATGTTCTGAGAAATTATAGTGCATTCACACAAAAGAATACTATGCAGCACTCAGGAGCAACAATTTTGTAAAATACCACATAACATGGGAGAATCTAGAGTATATTATTTTGAATGACCTAACTCAGTGTCATAAGGACAAATATTGCATAAGACCATTATGTGTATAAAAATTCAAAGGTGGAAAAGGAGAGGGTAGGGGAATGGAGAGCAGAGGATCATTGGGATGGCAAAGTCTGATGGGCTGAGGGATGAGACAAAAAAATTGGGAAAGACCCAATGGAGACCTGTAATTGTGGCCATAGGTCAATAGTGATTAATTTTATAAAACACAATGTGTAGAAGTGATCATATGAAGCACAATGTGAATGAAGACATGTGGGAAACAAAATACCTCAATGAAACAAAATGTATATGAATTTTTTATTCAAACTAATAGAAAATTTTTAAAAGGTTGTATAACTGATTATTTATTCCTTGCAAAGAACTTCATTAAAATTTATAAATACTGTTGCATTTGAGCCTCATCAGAATAAATTCACAGGAATCCCATAAACTATATCTGTGAAAATAAATGTTAGATAATCCCAGTATCATCAATCAGAATAAGTCCAGAGCTGACAATGGAATGGACCATAAATTGTTCATAAGCAAGTGAAAATTGAAGCTGATGAAATTTAAGACATGTCTACAAAAGCCAAAATATGACCCTGTGTATATCACATCTGAGTATAGAGACTATTTAAGGAATACATTGAATGTATTACCCTAATGATTGAAGACTAGATGAGTAGTTGAATGCTTTCAAGGACACCATAGATAATGACTGCCAGATACTGTTCTAAAGTTGAGCATTCAAATTAAGACAGAGTAGAAAGAAGGACTGGCAATCGAATTCTGAAATATAAGTGGCCTTCAAAAACCCTATGTGCAATAAAGCACACTTAAAGTACTCTAGCAGATATGACACCTGAGGCTGGGCCCTCAAATTTGGAAACACAAATGAGGAGGAACAATAGTAACAGACACGAACGATTACAACATGGAATGTGAGAAGCATGAATTCAGGGAAATTGGATATTGTTGAGAAAGGAATGCAATGACTAAATATTGACATGCTAGCTAGGTATTGGGGAAATGAGATGAATTGACACAGGGCATTTTGAATCAGACAGTCATATGATCTACTACAACAGAGATGAAAAGGTAAGGAAAAACGAGTTCACTTTTATAGTTAAAAAGATAATTTCCAGATCAATTTGAAATAAAACATGGGAGTGGCAGGGTAATATCTGTACACATACAAGAAAGTCCAGTGAATACCACTATCATTCAAATATAGGCACCAGCAACCAGAACCAAACAAGAGGAAACAGAAGATTTCTACCAACTTTTGTAATCAGAAATTGATCAAAAATGCATTAATAATAACAAGTGACTAAAATGCAAAAGTCGGGAACAATGAAGAAGGGTCAGTAGTTGCAAAACGGACTTGGTGATATAAATGAGGCCGGCGATAGAATGAAAGAATTTTGTATAAGCAAATATGTATTCATTGCTAATGCCTTTTATAAGAAACACAGACACAGACTATACACATGATTTCACCTGGTAGTATGCACGTAAATCAGATCAATTACATCTGTGGAAAAAATCACTGGAGAAACTCAATATCAGCTGTGAAAAAAATTTGAACTAGATCACAACAAGCGCTAATATCACAAGTGAAATAAGCTACATTTGAGAAACAATAAAAATCCAAACT